GGTAACTGGGGATTTAGCCCAAGGCAATTTGCCATTGAGCCACATCCCTAGCCCTAGCCCTTTTGAGACAGGGCCTCACTAAGCTTCTGAGGCTAGCCTTAAACTTAGGATCCTCCTGTCTCAGCTTCCCAAGCCTCTGGGATTATGGGTGTACACCACCACTCCCAGCCCAGCTTTTTTTTCCATAAAAGTGTTACATTTATCTTTGTATAGCAATATGAGGATATTTTTGTCATTGTTTTTCTCTTTCTACCCCGCTACTTCTCTCAATTTTTATATTTTGTGAAGACAACTTATTATAACTCAGGCCTTACTCATCACAACATCTATTATGATGGTAGTCATCATCCTAGTATTTCAGTCAAAAAAATTAAATTATAGTTACCCTTGCCAAAAGATAAAGTATGAAGCAATTATATATTCCTTTGAAATTGTTAAATTTGTCCCTTAAATTACCATTTAAGAAATTCATTACAAAGTTCAGTTAGATCTGTAATTGTGTTAAATTCTGAGGCACCTGGGTCCTATCTATTCCTTATCTTTGATGAGAAGATGGTGAATGAAGTGGGAAAGATCAACAGTGTGCTTGAAAATAGCAATTAGATACATAACTGTTTGTTTACTTCCTTCCCCATGTTGTAGCCTTTCCCCTCCTACAGCCAACAAAGAAAGGTGGCAGGAGAAGCCAGCTCATGATACTGACATTGTAAAGGGTTGCTGCTACTGGTTCACTGGACTCTAAATTGTTATTCAAAAGATTGAAGAACAGTGTATGGCACTGATGTAAAGTCCAATTTAAACATGACACAAAAAACATTTTTGCATTTGCACAATAAGCAAGCAATGCTGCTGTTGCAATGCCAGAAATGAAGAAACATCTCCTGCTTAATTACTTGCTCAGATGGCTGATCATTATGACATTGATGGTGACATTTCTCTAATCTGAAATGTTTGGGGATATAATAATAAGTCGATATCTCAGAAATATCTAATTTTGGTTAAAATAGTCTTCCATGTGTTCTGTTGTTGAACTAAAGCCCACTTTCTTCCAAAATATTTGGGCATACAATTTTTAAAACACTGTAATCTTGGTTTCCATGCTTTACGTTTCACCTTCCCAAGATTTATACTGAATAATAATATTCTGAGTAATAATATACAGAAGAATTGTAAGTTAACACTCAGACTTATGTTTCAGCTTCTCTTTAAATGCTTTACATATTTACTCTAATTAGAGATGGGAGGAATAAGACCAACTAGTGCCAATATTTATTTGATGCTATTTGGCAGTTAAGCCTGATATCATTCCTAATCAGTATATTTAACTTATTCCCAAGCATTAGAGCCCTTCAAGGATCAGAATTCAGTAATGATGCCTTTAATTGACTCTACTAGGCCTACTTTGCTAGCTGGTAAAATGGGCTACCAGTCATAATGGCTTAAAAATGGAAATTGTTTTATTATGTTTCTAGATATTGGAACCAAGAGGTGTTGGGTTTAAAAAGAAAAAAAAATGTTTAGCAACGAAAGTGATCAGTAGAGTTTAGACAGAAAGAAAGGTCCATGTGAAGCTGACAGATGAAATAAGAGTATGAGGGGTTGTTGTGAAGCTCAGTGGTAGAACATTTGCTTTGTTAGTATGTGTGAGGCCCTAGGTTCAATCCCCAGAATGAAAGGAAGGAAGGAATGGAGGAAGGGAGGGGAGGAGTAAAAACATGAACAAAGATTTTCCATCAAAGTTTGTAAAAAAAACTATTTCCTAGTCTAAATGCCTAATTATAAACACTGAGAATTACATTTCTAAAAGCTTAGAATTTTAGAGCCAGAAGGGATCTTAAGAAATCATCTTTTCCAACTTTCTTCACGTCATAGTTGAAGAAAACCAGATCTCAGAATCGATTTGCCCCAAATCTCAGAACAAAAATGGCTAACATTGAGACTCTTTTAGCCTCTTTTGTTTTTCTAGTAAAAATCATTGGCTTGCTCCCTACCCCTGATGGACAGAAGTTCTTGAATCTTTCTCTTGGTTGCTCTTGAAGAAATCTAAGGATGTTGGGGTTTTAGACCTCTGGATTCTCCTCTGGCTGCCATGATCCTAATTTTTGTAGCTTGAACAAATCATTTCTCCAGATTTTTATGTGGGGGAAAATGTTACTAAATGCTTTCTTATCTTTAAATACAACAGGTATTTATAAGCAGGTGACTGTCTGAGGGAGTAAACCAAGTAATAAAAAAGGATCAGATCATTAAGTGATCTTACTACATTTTGAGTGACTGGTGTTCTTTCTAGAAATATTTGTGACTTTAAAGGATAATACTTAAACACTATTTATTTGGTATAAATTTTTAAAAATGAATAAACATTTCAGGAGTGGGAATGTAGCTCGGCAGCAAAGTGATGGCCTAGCATGTGTGAGACCCTAGGTTCAATCCCCAGCACCAAAAAAAAAAACCCAAAAAACAATTAATGGGTAGGGATTTATTGGTGCCCTGGGCAAGTCATCCTGGCCTAGGATGCATTCAACACCCCTAGGCTATTACTGTTTTTCATAATCTCTTCCCTTCCTCAGTTTGTTAACTCTAAGTCTCAAACTTTCTCCTTAATGATTGTCATTGGCTATAGAGGTATTTGGAAGTATTTCTGCTTGTAAGTACAGATCACTTATAATTATGAAGTTATGAGTCAGATCTGCCTATATTTGCTAATTATATTAAGAGAAAAAGAGAGAACAAAATGTTTTTGTTGCTTCTGCCTGGTCTGGAATTTCAGGGAAGTAAAGGAACACTCTGGTTATCCAGAGCCAGATTGACTGTTAAAAGTTCAAGCCATCATTTTGACATTTCATGTTGGACTTTCTTTTTGTAAATCCCTCTTCACATTTCTAGCATTGGTCTTAGAGCTCAAACTGTTTCAAAACCATAACATTTCTTAGTGAGTGATTGATCTGTATTATGTGTCCAGCCATCAGGGGAATCTTGGGATGTTGCTTGTATAAACTGTAATCCAATCTGATGCTGTGCATTTAGTTACAGTCTTTCATAGACCTATTGGCGATACTCAATCCTCCTGGATTTGGGAATAGGGCTTATCTGATACCTTCAGGGGGAAAAAATCCATTCATTTTTCTCTCTTCCCCACTTAAATAACTCAACACATCTGGTAACACTGTAGGATCATTGTCCTTCCAGTTCCTCTGCAGCTCATATTGCTACAATATTTCTTAAGTATTTAGTTACCCAAAGAACAATGTGATTAAAAATATAAAAGACTTTGTATAGGTCTTACAAATTAACCCATCTCTAGAGCTAGAAAAAAATATGCCTTTAATCAGCAAAATTACCATATCAACAGCCCTGTATGTGTTAGTATGAACATAAACAGAAAAATGTTAATGTGTTAAAATTTTAAAGCAAGTCTTTACAAATTAATGTAATTTGCCTCTAAAGAAAATGTTTATGAAGTGCCAAATACCTGAGACTGAAGTATCCTTTGGCTTAATAATGTCTTCAATTACAAGAATGATAAAAGCTGAAACAAAATCCTTTAATTCAATCAGGGCTGAGCTAAATTTTTAGGAAGCAAAGAGTGGAAATCAGATACAGAACTGCATAATGTAGGAAGTTAAATATACCAGATATTAAGACTTCGTAAGAAGCGGATGGAGTTTCCTTGAGGAATGCTTGTTTGAAATGGCTGTATTGAACACCATCATTAATACCACTATTTTATTATCTTGTGTTAAGATGTTTTATGCAAACAAACTGTTAACTGTGCCATAGTTCCAGAGAGACCAGTTACTGTTTTCTGCTTGTTCTACATTCTGGAATAAGTTCAAAGCTTTTGATTTTACTTGAGTCATGATAATAATACAGGTTTGATGAATATGATCTCAATATTGTGGTTCTGTAAAAATTTTCAGTGTTTGCAGAACATTTGACCCAGGGGCCCTACACCACATATATCCATAGTTCATTTTAAGTATTACAGAATGAACACATTTGAAAGATTAACCATTCTCTTACTGCTGCTTTTCTTTCTGTATTAAGTATGAAAATTAGCATAGTAATGGCTCCCAGAATGGGAATGCTGAAAAAGTATCCACCTGACAGAAATAAACATGCAGAAAATAAATTGAGTTAGGATCGCATTCGTTATCTGAAACTTAAGCTCATGTTCAAAATGGCTATTACTGGATTTTCATGTACATTAGTTAAATGCTAAGCTTAAAAGATTTTTTTTTTTTTTGGCTTGAATTATAACTGAAAAAAAAAATTGGATCGCAGCTTTAATATCCAGGTGGGCAGTGCCATTTGCCAGGATATTTGAACATAAGTCCTGTTTTTTTGTTGTTGTTTCTCTCAAGCACAAATCCTGCCTTACTTACTAAAAATCTTCTGAAGGATGCTGAGGTATAAATGGTGATATATTTTTTCAGTGTCTCTTCTAATTTTTTCTTTGTTTTTTTAGGTTGTGGAACTTTTAGCAAGTGCTCTTATGGACTTGGTACAAGGAGTATACCATGAAAATTCTACTTCAGCCACGGTAAGGATTTCAGAGTCATTTGTAAAACCTTAGGTTAGAAATGCTCATGGCAAAACTAGAATTGATAAGCTAAAAATGTCAATCTTGTTTTATGTTTAAACTGCATGTGACTTCTTTTTTTTTTTTTTTTTAATAAGATTAGTGTTTTGGCTACAAATTCATGATCACACACTTAGTACAGGCCAGATTTAGCCAACTAAAACAACCTCTTCTCCTCTGGATGGATTTGCAGTCTTTTCAATCTACAGCAACCCAGTAGACATGGGAAGCTTGTAGCTAGCAGGTAGCACTGTCCCTGATGGGCAGGCTGGAGATCGCAACTTGTGCCTATATGAATGGGCCAAGACTTTCCCCTGAGGAAGGAGCTCCTGTATCCCAGAAGAGTGGACCATGAGCCCAAGAATATGGCTGGCTGTGAGTTGGGGGAGGAATGTCTTTTATATACAAGATCTAAAATTTACTACATTATTAGATTCTCTGTGATGAGAAGTAGGATGGTTGCACAGTTGGATTATTTTAATTTTCTGAGTCTAGAATTAAGGAGGGTTTTTTTTACTCATTTAGCAGAACATCTCAAAAAAGGTTAGGTTTTATTTCCTTAAAATGCAGTTATTTCATTTCAATAGGAGATTAGATATGAAGTAATTGCTTCATTGACCACCACCATCATTTACCAAGCTATATACTATTTATAAGGGACTCCTCTCTCAGTGTTTCATTATTCTAACTTCTTTAGCTTCTGCATTAGCAAGATTTCACTCACTGCAAATTAGAAAAAATATGCATGTATGCACATATGAAACATTAACATTTCCATTTGAAGAAAAGAGACAAATTTTACTAGAAGTGAAATGTAGAGCATGAACAAGTTGAATTAAAAAAATTTTAAGTATAACCCAGGGACTCTGTATGGTTCAGAGAGTGGTTAGTGAAATATGAAGAATTGCACCTTGAACATCTGCTAACATTTGATTCAGGGAACCACAGTTCCCAATAGGCACATCTAATCTTACCTAAGCAGCATATTGATATGTGGGGGCCTCACAAGATTTATAACCACAGTGGACCTTCTGTGGTCTTTTTCAAAGACAAGCATGGTTCTCTACTTTGACTGAGGGTCAATGTCATAATGTAAAATGTGTGACTTCTGGTGTAGTTTCATTTATAGAAAGTCGCCTTGTATGTAACATGGTATGATGATAGCTAAACAAGTAACATTGTGGTAAGCCATTTTTCTGTGTTTCTTCCTTTAATCTTCATAAAAATCATGAGCCATAGATCCTACTACTACTCCCATTTTGCAGATAATGAAAACTGAGGTTTAGAAAAGATTTTCCCAAGACCACACAACTTGTAAACTGGGATTTGAACTTCAGACCCCAGGTTCTTAATCTCTTATTCTACTGCCTCTCTACCTTAACTGTACTTTATTTGGTAGCCTCCATCTTCTATACCTGAGGTCTCATCATGTGTTGATGACTGACTTATATGAGAGTTGAGGCATTGCTTTCCCTTGGGATACTTCCAAGGAATTCAACTTAGTTCAATAAAAGATCTTAATATTTTATGCTTAAATGCCTAATCTTTAAGTGAAAGTGTTATGGTTGGTTTAGGCTCTTAATTTATCCACTCACCATTTATCTACTATAATTAGCCCAGTTCATTAATAACTTTGTGAACATTTGTTAAGTACTTTTATATGTCAGGCAGACCTAATAAAAACAATAATAATAAATGATTAAATAGCACTTTACAGTTTACTTATGCTTCTTTGTTCACAATCGCCTAGGCTGAAAAGGGAGACATTTGTCAGTAATTTCATTTTATACAGGAAAAGCCTGAAATTCAAAAATGACGAATGGCAGGAAAGCACAGTATCTGAAAATTGTTAGAATTGTTAATGTTTAAGTGTTAGATCTGAACCAAGTGTTTTGATTCCAAGTTCATGCTTTCTCAAATATAATCTGTTTCCTCCTGTAAAAGAGAAAAGAGAGAGCAACAAAGACTTTGAAGGACTGTTGCTCATACTGGGAACAACCACTGAGAAAGCACCATTTGCGGACTCTCTCATTAGTTAATAAATTTTACTCAAAAGAATCTGTAGCAGGGGCTGGAATTGTGGCTCAGCAGTAGAGGACTCGCCTAGCACTGGCGGGACCTGGGTTCGATCCTCAGCACCACATAAAAATGAAGGCATTGTGTAGTGTCCATCTACACCTAAAAAATAAATAAATATTTTTTTTAAAAAAAGAAAGAAAAAAAAATCTGTAGCAATGCTTTGTTCATCTGGCCTTTTTTCCATACTACCTCCCTGAATAGAGTCTTTTAAAATATTTGAGTCTTTATTTAAGCAATGAAGTTTCAGAATATAGTTAAGCCATTTTAAAGCACCATTCTTTTTTAATAATGGAAACAAAAATGCATAGTTTAACCACAGCAGTGAGAATGCTTCTTGCTGCCTTTATTTATGCCCTAGGTTCACTTTAGGTTAACCACATTTCCCTTCCTAACCAGAAAATTTCTGCACCACCCCCCACCCCTGCCCCCAAGCATGCTTGCCATTGCAATGATTTTTCAGAATTTGGTTTTTCTAACTTGGTCCAGGAATTGCTTCAGAAGCAGAGTGAGGGAGCACTGCCCCCACATGGAGTGCCTTCAAGGTTTTCATATTAGGACACTAACAGGGTAGCAGCCACAAGCAGAGGTCATGTGGGAAGGGAGGCCAACTCTGTGGATCTCTGTTGCACAACCTCCATAGCCTGGGGCCAATTCAGTACACAAAAGAATTGCTTTGGATTTAAAATACACTGGAAACCATTCCTTCTCTCTAGGGGTAAGAAGACACAATAGCAGTCTGTTTTCTAGATGGCAGCTTAATGTAGTGATGGAGAAGTGGGTAGTAGGAAACTTGGTTTCTGTATAGTGGTATCTACATGCCTAAGGTGGATACATTAAAGCAAAGTGAGGGGAAAATGGAACTGGATACATTAGAAATCACCTTCTCAAACTGTTGTAAGTTTGTGATTACTTAATTCTCCTTAAAGTGTGACAATTTATGTGATTAAGTTACCAATACTTAACATTGTAGATAAATTGTAATCATGAAAACATGCAGAGTACTTTGTTCCACCCATTGAAAAAAATATTTTTATTTTTGTATTTGCTAGTTTATGAACCATTTTTTCCTTAAAATAGAAATTAGCTGTTGTGCTTTTTTCAGAATTTATCAGGAAATATTTTCCCTCTATTTTTTATAAGGTAACTACTTGAAGAAAGAAACAGGTTAAATAGAAAAATTGCACTTTAAACT